CACCCCAGCGGCGAGGCTGCTCTGCGGGCTGGGGTGCTGCCCTTCTGCCGTCCCCTCCCGGGGGGCCAAGCCCCCGGCTCTGGAGCGGTGCTGGGGATACCGGGGACCCCCACTGCCTGCTTACCGCCTTGGGGCTCCCCAAAGTGTGGGAGAGCGCGGCCCTGCCCTCGTTCAGGGGCGCGAGGCTGTCGTCCTCCGGACGGGCTTCTTGACCCCTTTCCCCAGGTGCAGGGATTCGCCAGTCGTGAGATACCCACGCTGAGGTTTAGCGTTCGCTCTGAGGATGGTGGGCTGCCTTCCGATCCTGTAAAATGTTTACCTCTTTTGAGAGGAGCTCTTTACAGCGGGGGAAGAGGAGCGCTGCGAGAGGCTCCGGGTAGCGCGGGCCACAGCGTTCATGCCTGTGCAAAGACAGCTTCGAAGTGGGCGCACCTGAGCTTAAGATGGTTGCAAGCTCCTTCCCTCTGGGCTTGCTCTCTGGAGAGAAAGTAGTTCTGGTCCTGAGGCGCTGGCCTCTCCTACGGGTTCCTAGTAGAATACTAGGAAAAAGATTTTTGCATCTTTTTACCTTTTTTTCTGTAGCATCTTTACACTCTGCGGCAGCAGCTGTGCATCCTCTAGAGGAGTGGTTCAGTGCAGTGACCACATCCTCCGAAGGAGATTAGCGATCCTAAATTGTTTAAGGAGTTTAATGGCAGTAAGATGGTTGATAAGTGGAAGGAGTGACGTTAAGCTGCGAGCAGGTTAGATCTGGACCTACTCCGTAAAGAGAGATCGACTGTTAATTTTGTTGTGGTCATGTGGTAGAAAGGTTTAACTGCTTGGGAGGGTGTAAAGGGGATGATGAAAGGGAGAGGAGAGGGCTGCTCTCTTCTGAGAGAGACTCTTAGGCCGGTGGAGCAAGGTGGGTAATGAGAGTTGTATTCTTAGTTACGGGCTTCGTGCTGCTTCGGGGCTTCTCCTTCTGCTTCAAGACGTTCTCATTTGTGTGCAATAAAACTGACTTCTCTTAATGACTGTGTTCGCCTCGAGTAGGGTGCCTTGTGTTGGTGCTGTTGATTTGGTTTTTAAGCAGACTCAGCCTGTCTGCGGGAGGCAGTTTTAACAGAGCCTGTGAAGATAGGCAGCGTTTCGGGAGGATAACATCTCGCGCTGCCTTCTCTCGTATTTCAAACGTACAGCTGTATCCGTTCTCTGAAATGCAGTATTATTCTGTCAAAACCTGGGAGGATGTGACAGGGTAAAAGATTGCGCTTCACACGCTGAGTTTCTTGAATTCCTGTCCCTGAGAGTCTGTCAGTAGTGAATGCTGGAGGCGGGATACAGATCCATCTCTGGCCTGGTCCATTAAATGATTTGCATCTCGAGAGCACAGTGTAGAAATGTTAGTCATCTGTGAGGAAATGAATACAAAAGTCCGTTCTCTTAGCCTAGAAGGAATGCCCATGGACTTGAGGTTTCCCATACCAAATCCAACATCCCTTTGGATGTGAGATTTGTGCAGCTGATGGAAGTCTTTTTTTAACTTCTGGGTGCTCTTCAAGCCACTGGAAGCTGTCTGGATTGCTGGGATTGCAGACATTTCAGGTGGTTTTATTAATAATGTATCAGGGCTGGACTACACTTCTTGGTGAGTTAGGATCATGTGGTTTGCTAATGCGAGAAATGGGTTCCTGTGGAAAAGCACATTGTGCTACTAAAGGTTTGGCCCGTGCGGTTCCCTGATGCAATTCAACTGAAACTTGTCTGCTTTCCTCCCGTTCCTTGCAATTGTTTTCCCTGTGAGCTTGTGACTTTGCAGGTGTGACCTGCACGGCAGGAGAAAACTTCCTGGGCCAGCAGCTGAGGTTTGGCACTTGGAAAAGAGACAGAATGAATGCTGCCCTGAAAGCGCCGCGAGAAGTCTTTAAAGAAAGAAAGATAAGCGAAGCCTTGAGGTGTGGGGTTTTTTTTCATAGCTACTCTGAGGACTGTGCCTTTCCCACCATGCTGGGTAGGTGGAGTTGGCGCTGAGGAGTAAAATTGCTGTCCCAAACTCCCAGAGTCTCCTCTGTTGCATGTACCACTGTCAAAATATGCAGAGAATTGAGGTGTTTCATTTCCAAGTCCTTAAGGCGAGGATTGAAAGGATGATAGCGTTCAGTCATGTTCAGAGAAAGCATAATGGTTAGCAGAGATATTGGTTCTTGGAGAAAAAAAATAGAAAACCACCAGCTCCGTAGGAGGCACGCGTTGGTAGGCCCCAGGCAGAGAGATGCTGCGGCGTGAACTCACCTGCACTGGACAGCACCGAGTCCCCTTGGGAATGGCTTGGGTCGGAGCTGACGTGTCAGTGTCCAGCCATGTGTCTCCAGTCTATCACAGATCAGGATACGTGTCATTTTTTTTTTCACTTACGGAGCTGTTTTGCAGCGACAGGGGATCGGAGAGCCCAGCGTGTACCACGCCGTGGTGGTTATTTTCCTGGAATTCTTTGCCTGGGGGCTGCTGACCACGCCGATGCTAACGGTGAGTAAATCTCCCTGAGAATAATGCTGGCTCTTGTAGACTGGAGTTTGCCTTCAGTTGGCGAGGGCAAAGATCTCAACACAGGCCTTTGGAGCATGGCAAGTGGAAACCAACCTATAATGGTTTGTGCCTGAAAAAGCTGGAGCTATAGCGATTTTTCTAATAGAGTTGGGCAATTATTTTCTTAATTATTGCAGCTTAACATGAAGCAAAGCATGAGTTAGATTTTTTGAAAGCTTTTGGAGGATTTCAAGAAAGCAGGAGGGAAAGACCTGGCCTGAAATCACTGGAATTTGCTGGCAATTTACTGTCATTTATGGCTTTTTTTTTTTTTCCCTTAGGTATTTAAAAAAAAATGCACTTGGGAGCTTAATGAAAGAAAGTTGAGCAAAGCTTTGACTTCTTATCCCAAGAGTGTCCCTTTTACCCTATGCTGGCTTATTTAGGGACAAGAGACATTTCTGTTGAACTACCACCATCGTTGTCCGCGGTGTCAAAGCAGAGACAATTTCCTGGCAATTACTTGCTATGCCAAGTCATGCTCGTCCTGGGAGAGCCCACCAGGAACTCATGCAGGACTTGATTGAGTTATGATTAACACAGGCAGCAAAGTTAAGTTAAGTGCAGAGGGAAGCTTTGATAAAGAAACTTAAAATCTCTTCTTGGATACTTGCCTGTGGCTAAGGAGTGGAAAGCTGCTCATTTGGTGCTTTCAGGAAGAATCCTCAGCTTTTTAAATTCATCTTCTGGTGGCAGTATGCCAGCTCACGTTGCAGTCTGATGTGCCACGTATCTTTGACCTGATCTCTGATATCTCGGTAACTGTTCAAAAGGAGTCTTTGTTGATGCAGAGGCATTTAGAAATACAGTATTGGCTTAGTAGGGCCGAATGCGAGTCGAACGTAGATGGGAAAAGAGGGGGAGAGAACAACAGGAAGTTATGTGGTCACATGGAGTAAAACCAGAGGAAAGTCAGGGGGTGCAGGGATGGAGAAAGGCATGCTTCCCGTTATCTTAGCCTTGCCCAAGCCTGCTGGATTAATTTATAGACCTGGGAAGTATTAAGGCGGCTGCCCCCGTTAGAGAGGGAAGGTGGAGCTCCTCCCGAAGGTACCGCAGTGGCACCGTCGGTAGCGTATTTCCCCTTTTCCCTGTTTCGTGCTCTTCCAGGCATCCAGCTGTCAGGTGCTTACAGAAATTTTGCAGAAGTTGGTAGCTCTCATTTTTTGGTGTTTTTGTTTTTCCCCCCTAGGTGTTACACCAGACTTTTCCTCATCACACATTCTTGATGAATGGCCTGATTCATGGAGTCAAGGTAAGGACCATTCCTTCCAGGCTTCCATTTAAACCTGTGGTCGGTGCAAGAAGTGGCACGCCATTGCAATCTATGTCATTTGCTGATGTTAACCAGTATCTGACAGATAAATGTTCATATTTCGGTTTGGGGTGCTGCTGGCAAGCCTAATGCAAAATGAAGCACTGGCAGAGCACAGACATCGTGTTGCTTGTGTAGCTGATGTTACTGAGCAGTGCTAACAACGTGCCGCGTGGCAGTGCGGGCTTGGGGCTACAACAGCTCTGCATTTCGGCTGAAAATAATCAGCTTGAGATCAGCCCTGCATCCATGTTCTGGAGTGTAACAAAAAAATCAGTGACATCTGAATTTATCAGTAATAGAAGTTGAAACTGTGGGCGTTAGCGGGCTCTCCCCAGTTAGAAGGTGGGGAGTACGCTGTGACAGGGTAAGTGGGCACGGTGAGTTCAGGCTAGACCAGCATTCCCCGAGCAGAATTGGAGGCAACTGTGGCGAACAAGCAGTACCCATGTGTTCTGACTCAGGAATGTTGCAAAACAGATTGTCAGGCCCTGGCTCTGGCAAGAGGATCTCGGGAAATCGCTCCAGAGAGGTTTGCCTCAGCGTGAGCTGGGCACTCCCATATACACTTAAGGGCTTTTCCCTGCCTGTCTTGGGTTTGAAAGCTGCTGAAAGGCATTGAACAATTTTATTTGGGCTTAATGGCCTTGACATCTCATCAGGTCTGTCTTGTCTCCATCCCAAAGAGAAAGCTCGGCTTTTAAAATTCATCTTCTGGTGGCAGTATGCCAGCTCACGTTGCAGTCTGATGTGCCACGTATCTTTGACCTGATCTCTGATATCTCGGTAACTGTTCAAAAGGAGTCTTTGTTGATGCAGAGGCATTTAGAAATACAGTATTGGCTTAGTAGGGCCGAATGCGAGTCGAACGTAGATGGGAAAAGAGGGGGAGAGAACAACAGGAAGTTATGTGGTCACATGGAGTAAAACCAGAGGAAAGTCAGGGGGTGCAGGGATGGAGAAAGGCATGCTTCCCGTTATCTTAGCCTTGCCCAAGCCTGCTGGATTAATTTATAGACCTGGGAAGTATTAAGGCGGCTGCCCCCGTTAGAGAGGGAAGGTGGAGCTCCTCCCGAAGGTACCGCAGTGGCACCGTCGGTAGCGTATTTCCCCTTTTCCCTGTTTCGTGCTCTTCCAGGCATCCAGCTGTCAGGTGCTTACAGAAATTTTGCAGAAGTTGGTAGCTCTCATTTTTTGGTGTTTTTGTTTTTCCCCCCTAGGTGTTACACCAGACTTTTCCTCATCACACATTCTTGATGAATGGCCTGATTCATGGAGTCAAGGTAAGGACCATTCCTTCCAGGCTTCCATTTAAACCTGTGGTCGGTGCAAGAAGTGGCACGCCATTGCAATCTATGTCATTTGCTGATGTTAACCAGTATCTGACAGATAAATGTTCATATTTCGGTTTGGGGTGCTACTGGCAAGCCTAATGCAAAATGAAGCACTGGCAGAGCACAGACATCGTGTTGCTTGTGTAGCTGATGTTACTGAGCAGTGCTAACAACGTGCCGCGTGGCAGTGCGGGCTTGGGGCTACAACAGCTCTGCATTTCGGCTGAAAATAATCAGCTTGAGATCAGCCCTGCATCCATGTTCTGGAGTGTAACAAAAAAATCAGTGACATCTGAATTTATCAGTAATAGAAGTTGAAACTGTGGGCGTTAGCGGGCTCTCCCCAGTTAGAAGGTGGGGAGTACGCTGTGACAGGGTAAGTGGGCACGGTGAGTTCAGGCTAGACCAGCATTCCCCGAGCAGAATTGGAGGCAACTGTGGCGAACAAGCAGTACCCATGTGTTCTGACTCAGGAATGTTGCAAAACAGATTGTCAGGCCCTGGCTCTGGCAAGAGGATCTCGGGAAATCGCTCCAGAGAGGTTTGCCTCAGCGTGAGCTGGGCACTCCCATATACACTTAAGGGCTTTTCCCTGCCTGTCTTGGGTTTGAAAGCTGCTGAAAGGCATTGAACAATTTTATTTGGGCTTAATGGCCTTGACATC